TAGTCCTTGAATTGCAGTGTATTGAAACATGTACCTGTAAGGAAAAAAAAATGAAACTAATTATCTGTAATTGTCCAACAATTATTTCATGCATGCTTCCTAATTAATCAACAATTACAAACTTAATCAAATACACAACAAGAATGTCCGTAAATCATAAATTACCTTCAGTTTCGCGCTTACAAATTACTTCTTCAATAACATGGTAGCCTCCCATGATCCAGATTAGGGTAAGGAATTCACGGCCGTATCGTCCTAGCTGCTTAACATGATTAACATGCTGGCACGAATGTGCGGCATAAAGTAGCATCTCAATCCACATATTCTTTATTAGCTCCCATTTATTACTGCTTTGGTTCAACTTCGTGGCCAACAATCCTGCAATCTCCAGCGGATCCTCGACCGACGGTTTCCCCAACGCTGGCTCATCAGTTCTAATGTAGAAAAAAATAGTATGTATAATTAAAACTACTTCGTACGAGATTTTTTATTTAAATATATTTGTTTATAAATAACCAAAAAAATAAAAATAAGGAAGAAGATATCAAACCTGAATTGGAGGAGCGAATTGAAAGCAGCAGTCTTGTCGAGGTGCTTGGAGAAAGTGTCCCTGACCTTTTTAAGAGCATGGTCGAACCAGAAACTCCCACAGTGCTCAGGCAGTATCATAGCAGGTTGCATGACTAGCAGATACATCATATAATTTGACAAATATTTGCTGATCTCCATGTCTTCACTGCCAGGCTTATTGGGATCATGATCTTGATGGTAACAAATACTTGTGGCCAGGTGCCAGGTTATGATGCTGGTATCAAAATCTACATTGATGCTCCTTTTTAGGACAGGAAGCATGTCAGTTATTGCATTTTCACCAGGATTCCTCTGTCTATCTGCCTCTTCACTAAGCGTCTTCTGCCCCCTTGTTGCTTCAAAGGAAATGCCCGCAAAGAAGGACTTTAGCCGAATTTGATAAAGCTCTATTTGCGTCAAATAGCTTGGAACTTCCATAAATTTGGTAAAACGGAAACTATTCCAATTTTCAAGAAAATCTCTCCTACAGCTGTTTCTAGAAAACCAACAAACCTTATCCTTTCTGGAATCCCAGCAAAAATCTAACAAATTGAACTGTCCCATCGAAAGTGATAACCTCCTCCGTTGAGGCACGAAGCAAGGCAAGTATTACAAGACAGACTTGATAATTTTGCGTAACAAACAATTGTCATCAAATAACATAAGAAGTACTGCCCAATCCGAAGAAAGCATTGACAACAGAGTACAAAATTCCGGTGTAACCGCCCGACCAACAAACTGATTGTTACGAAAATATCGAATTGGAATTTTGACTCATCCATGATGATAATCGGGAAGACCAGCAGAACTGCGAAGGTGAAAATGAAGCTGATGAGGCGCAACAAGCATCCTCTCTTGGTATATATCAAAGCAGCCTTGGTGTAAACAACATCAAATATAAACCCCAGTTCTGCAGCAGCTATGTTGAAATATTGACTTTCACCCCTTAGCTCGCGAAGCAATTCTAGCACTTTTGAAATGACTTCTTGGCTCCGTGGACCAACAGTTTCACTCAGATAGTTGTTTATTCTTACACTGAAGGACAAGGAATACTCCCTATGGCAGAGGTAATCGTTGACATCCGGTCTCATAACTGAAAACAATAAATAGCCTAGGAGCACTATTTTTGATTCTCCATCTTTGAGTGCAGGGAGAGATGGATGAGCAGGATCATTAAAGATGGAGATGATCCAGCCGGATTTCTTCAAGTTAGTAAGGTTAAGACACCAAACCCTCTCTCCATATTTAATGATTCCAGCTAAAATGAGAGGAAGGG